TACTTACCGAGTTGGGTTCATCTATGACCAACATCAGGCACTGGCATAGGCACTGATGTTCCTCAGAGCTTCTTGCATGCCGGTGGTATACACAGAGTATACATGCAAAGGTAAGCAAACAAACAACAAAATAGGGCAGGTGCTAAGTATAATGGAAAGGCAGGGCAGTGGACCAATATTTAAATTCCTTTTGTGTTTTTTGTTAACGTTGTCTTTAACCCTCACCATAACTCCGTGAAGACACTGATTAGTGAAATAGTTTACCAGGGTCATGTAGCTAAGAGGAAGTAGGCAGGGCTTTAACTTGTGTCTGCTGCCAAAAATCTATAGTTCCTGTGCTGGGAGCACCAGTCTCATCCTGTATTTTCTTCTTTCCTTCAGCAGTGAGAACAATTATAGTCTATTGTGGTTTCACCTAATTAGGACTCAAATTTTCATCTGTAAAATGAGAGTAGTGTTTGTTTAGTTTTAAAATCCTGTGCTTCTGATTATCAAACCTGGAAAGGGGAATTTGTCATGGGATGAACATAGTAAAGGAAAAGTTAGGTTTTGTTTTGATTTGTTTTTGTGATTCAGATTTTCTAATGAGATTTAGAACATATTTGAAAAGGAAACTAATTCATAAAATTAAACATTTGATGGCAACAGTGCAGAAGGCTTTAAGGTCATAAAGGGGTAGACCTCACTGTATCAGGAACATGTGACAACACAGATATATCTATATTTTGGTATTTGAAAAGTTAGAACCTATTTAGTGTAGGATAGAAGCTTAGTGAGACAGTACAAACCCATTTCTAGCATAAAATGGATGAGTTAATGTTTTTAAATAAAAAGTAGTTGGTAGATTTTTTAAAAATTCTAAAATATTATTATAATTTTTTTTTTTTTTTTTTTTTGTTGAGACAGAGCCTCGCTTTGTCGCCCAGACTGGAGTGCAGTGGCCGAATCTCAGCTCACTGCAAGCTCCGCCTCCCGGGTTCACGCCATTCTCCTGCCTCAGCCTCCCGAGTAGCTGGGACTACACAGACGCCTGCCACCTCGCCCGGCTAGTTTTTGTATTTTTTAGTAGAGACGGGGTTTCACCGTGTTAGCCAGGATGGTCTCGATCTCCTGACCTTGTGATCCGCCCGTCTCGGCCTCCCAAAGTGCTGGGATTACAGGCTTGAGCCACCGCGCCCGGCCTATATTATTATAATTTTTAAATAATAGAGATGGAGTCTTGCTATGTTGCCCAGGCTAGTCTCGAACTCCTGGGCTCAAGTAGTCCTCCTGCCTCGTCCTCCCACCTCGTCCTCCCAGAGTGCTGGGATTATAGACATGAGGCACTGTGCCCAGCCGTTGGTGGGTTTTTGACCTTTAACTTTCCCTGTGTTGTCATTATAACAGCAAACATTTCAAAATAATTTGATCAGGAGGAGAAATAGCACCTGAGTTACCCACAGATTGAATGGTTATTAATTATTTAACACAGATGTGTTACATTTACCTCTATAGAAAGATGCTTTTAATGATTATAGAAAAACCAGTAAGTTCAATATTAGAAATTTATGTTTTAAGATTGTGACAGACATCAGAGCTGGCAGATGGGAGAATGTGCGGCTTGGATAACTTAAATGTTGTAAGCATGGAATGTGCCTATGTTAATGACTGAATCTTAAATTGGAAATGTTTTCATGTATAACTTTACTTGAAGTAATTACTTTTATATTTTTGAAAATCAAAACAGTCTCTTTGTAGCAATGCAGTTGTTTTAGTAGCATAGAGGAATAATCATGTGAGAGCAAGGGCAGTATCCCCATGTTTATTCTATCCTATAATGAACTGATAGAGTCAAATAGATAGCAGCTTCTGTTTTGTTTTTTTTTTTTTTTTTGAGATGGAATCTTGCTCTGTTGCCCAAACTGGAGTGTGGTGGTGTGATCTTAGCTCACTGCAACCTCTGTCTCCTGGGTTCAAGCGATTCTCCTGCCTCACTTAACCTCCCAAGTAGCTGGGATTACGGGCATGAACCACACACCCGGCTAATTTTTGTAATTTTAGTAGAGACGGGTTTTCACCGTGTTGGCCAGGCTGGTCTCAAACTCCTGACCTCAAGTGGTTTGCCTGCATCAGCCTCCCAAAGTGCTGGGGTTACAGGTGTCAGCCCCCATGCCCAGTCAGCTTCTGTTATTAATGTGCTGAATTTTCCTAGCTCCTCCCCAGCGATTTTTTTTCCCCTTCAAGAGATATTTCTTTTTAAAAGCAGATAAAATAACTGCAGAATCTTACAATCTTACCTGTCATTTACTTCTGTATAGCAAGAATCACATTTTAAAAGAATGTCACGAATTGTTACCATAAGTTAGCTAATATTTGTATAGTAACTCAGAGTACAAATCCTGACGCCTAGTGCTTTTTTTTTTTTGAGACAGAGCCTTGCTGTGTTCCCCAGGCTGCAGTTTAGTGGCATGATCTCGGCTCACTGCAACCTCTGCCTCCCAGGTTCAAGCGATTCTTGTGCCTCAGCCTCCCGAGTAGCTGGAATTATAGGCGTGCACGCCACCACACTCAGCTAATTTTTTGTATTTTTAGTAGAGACAGGGTTTCACTATGATGGCCAGGCTGGTCTCAAACTCCAGATCTCAAGTGATCCACCTGCCATGGCCTCTTAAGTACTTGGATTACAGGCGTGAGCCACCACACCTGGCACCAAGTGCTTTAAACAAATCTTATTTAAGTTTGATTTCCTAATGATAGTGTAAAATGACCTTGGAACACAAGATCCTTAATTGTGGTTTCTTGTTGGAAGACAAAGTTGGAAAGACAACCATTTCATTATTTTATTGAAGTTTATATAGTATTGACTTGTCATTGTTTGAATATATTGGAAATGAAAAATGGCAGTGATCATAATTTATTTTCAATTTTAAGTGTAATATATGAAAATATTGCTGTCTCTGTTTATGATGAATACTAAATTTAAGCTAAGTTATAAGGTATGCTGTTTGGAAATATGGAAGATACAAGAATGAAGCCAGATAACAAGTTTATGCTTGTATTTCCTACTGATGAAGACTTTCAGACGAGTTATTTTCATGGGTAGGTGATGTCACTCTGCATGTATACACTTATACTTTTTTGCATGATTATACATGTAGGAGTGGTACAATTTTGACTTGACTATTGACCTCTTGCCTCAATTTGGGGATGGGGTGGAGAATATGAGGGCAAGATGCTCTGAATGGTATTAGTCATATAAATTTTAAAATAACTCACTAAAATAACTTACTACAAACACCTAAAAAAAAAGCCCTTAAAAAATAGAACATATGGTCAAATAGTCAATATTGTACTTGGCCCTCATATCTTCTGCACCCAAGTATTTGGACATCACACAGTATCTTGATTCCATAATAATCATTTTGAACTCTGACGAGAACGCCATAGAATATTGCAACTTTCTTTTCTTTTTTTAGAAAAGAAAAACCTCAAACACGAATCAGTTTCTTGATATTTAAACTAAAATCAATTACCAACTGATACCAAGGCCACACTGTTGAATTTTTTGGTCATTGAACTTGATTTACCCCTTAAGGGGATCTGGAAATTATTTTTAAGTGGTCAACTAAAGTTGTCCTGATCGTCAGAATTTCATATTGTGACATGTCTGTTCTTTATACAGTGGCACCTAACAACTCATTTGCTTTTATGTTTGGTCATTTTGTATTTAAAAAATATTACTACATAAACTTGTGGTTTGGTAGTTTAGTTTTAAGGGGTCACTACCCAAAGTGTGTTTTTGTTCAGTGACAGTTGACACAATGGATATTTGTATTAAAATAGTAATACTTCATTGTGTTACATTTTTATGATTCATTGACATATATGCATTCCTTCATAGAGTTTCATAAAATAGGTGTGTTTAATATTCATTTGTTGGATGATATTTTAAAAACCTTAATGGAAATAAATAGTTTGCTTGCGCTTCATAAATAGCCTTTGGGGGAGAAAACAACATTCCTTTATTTCTGCTTTATATTAAAATAGGGGTAGTAGAGGGATTTCTTACTTGAAGGGAAACTTTATGTTTGCTTTTTGCTGTTAATGTTTTTCTTAAAAAAGGGGTAGAATTAGCACTTTAAAGCATGTATCGATTCTACAAGCATGAATTTTGACTTATTTTAGCATGAATTGCTGCAGTGTAATAAATTTACTTTGAAACTCAGCTGCCTTTTTCAGCCAGTTGGGATTTGAGGGTGGAAGGGACCTCTTCCAGTAAGAACTTTAATATCTTCTTGTAAAATCACCCATAAGATTGCATGTCATTTAATTGTACTATGAGCTGGTTGTCTTTCTTAGGGAAAAGGAAATAGAAATATCCCTCATAAGATATCCAAAGCAAAATCCTGAAAATGGATTTTGTTGTGTTGTCTTTTAATAGAACGTCATAAAGTATATAACATCCCTGTTATTATAAAAGGACTTTACTGGAAATAGATGCATTAGTCAAAGAGCTCTAGTGTTAACCTTATTTCTTTAGGACATAGCAAAATATATTTGATTTTCTTTTCTGAATCTACTAGAGACTTTTTATATTACCCAGTAAGAGAAAGAACTAGATTCATTCTTTTAAAAAATATAAATTGGGTTTTAATAATTTGCATCAGTTTTTTCCTTTAAGAAATCAGTTCCACTTTCTCTGTGGAGTCATCCTTTTTTTCTTAATCTTGCTCTTTAAAAGTATGACAGGAATTCAGTGTAACATTGTTGAGTATAGTCTTGTCTTCTGTTCTTCATAGTAACACTCCTTTTCCTCCTTCCAAAATGTGTCCATCATCTTTGTAAGCTTGGATTATCTTTTTTACTTTCACATTTTGTACAAAATACTAGATCTATAAAGTGCAGCTTTTCTGATCAAATAGAATAATGAAGGCAACTGACATTAGAGGGCTCTTACTAGTTTCAGAAGTATTTTTCACCCCGCACATTAGATACAAGTATACATTTTCTTTCCTCCCTAGATGGACCTCCAGTTGTAGCTCATTATGATATGTCTGACACCAACTCTGAGCCAGAAGTGGTAAATGTGGACAATTTATTGGCGGCTGCAGTAGTTCAAGAGCACAATAATTCTGTAGGCGGCCAGGACACAGGAGCTACCTGGAGGACCACCGGGCTTCTAGAGGAGCTGAATGCAGAGGCAGGTTGGTCTTCCCCATTCCCCTTCTCTAATGGTGTAATATGCATGTGTCCTGGCAGCTGTTTTCCTTGTAGTGGACCCTGATGAGGAGAACAGGTCATACCAGAGACATCTGGCACTGAATGATTGATTGTGACTATCCAGGCTGCCATTTATACCCAAAACAATTTGGATAGCTTGTCATTCATCTTTCCTACTCAGAAGGAATACAAATAAGAGCATTTAAGACATTAATTGTAGGTATTGGTAGGTTTCAGTAGGCATATTTCTTGGATTAAAAATGCCCAATATATGCAAAAATGTCCCAGATATGCTCATATTCTTTGGCCAGTTCTTTCTCTCACTTTAATTCTGGGTAGTGACCTTGCAGCTTGGATAGGGAATCGTTGAATCTCTCTCCCTGTGGGGCTGGCTGTTCATACACAGCGCTGCCACTGTTTCTTGTGCTTCTTGCTGTGGAGTGAGCCTGTTAATTGCTCTTCAGTAAGTTCTCATTTGTCTTTTCTAACCCCTTTCTTTTAGTTTCTATCTCTGTTAGCTCAGGAAAAAAAATCTCTGTCCCTGTCTTACATTTTTTTAGTTTTGTGATTATTCTTTAAAGTGGTATTTATTCACTAAAAAATCCACTGCTATTACCTTTGAAAAACTTTCACAATACCTCCAAGTCTCCTTCAGTATTTTCCTCAACACTTTCAGCATTCTAATTTAAACCTTTTTGTTGTTGTTGTTGTGAAAGTACTAGCACTGAACATTTAAGAAGAGAAGAAGGGGATTGAGAGACTGCTTATGTAGTGTATAATTTCTTTAGTGTTGCTGAAAGATTATAGTTTTCTAGTTAATTTATAAATGCATTGGTTTTATGAGTTATCTAATAGTTTAATCACTACCTAAAGTTACTTTTATGAAAAATGAGTTTTATAAAAAATTGAGTTATAGTTTAGAACTTTTTATGTTGAGACAGAACTCCACTGATTGTTGTTGTCTTTTTTTTTTTTTTTTTTTTGAGATGGAGCCTTGCTCTGTCGCCCAGGCTGGAGTGCAGTGGCACGATCTCGGCTCACTGCAAACTCCGCCTCCCGGGTTCACGCCATTCTCCTGCCTCAGCCTCCCGAGTACCTGGGACTACAGGCGCCTGCCACCACGCCCGGCTAATTTTTTGTATTTTCGGTAGAGACGGGGTTTCACCGTGTTAGCCAGGATGGTCTCCATCTCCTGACCTTGTGATCCGCCCGCCTCGGCCTCCCAAAGTGCTGGGATTACAGGCGTGAGCCACCACGCCCGGCCTGTTGTTGTCTTAAATGATTCCTTTCATAATCTTCGATTGGAACTACAGAAAAATCACTTGTTTGTTGACCTGATTGATTTACTGTAGCTAATTTTGGAACAGAACCTGGATTTAGTTTTGATTTTGTTTTTTTTTTTTTTGACTGGTAACTGCCTGTTTGTCCTTGGACCAGTTGTTTCTCCTCTGGACTTCAGTTTTTATATATATAAATACTTGTTTTGCCCAACAAGTGTCTTTTAAGGATTTATTAATACATATTAATACAAATACTTTGCAAAGAAGTAATAATGCTTCTGGGCACAGTGGCTCACGCCTGTAATCCCAGCACTTTGGGAGGCCGAGGTAGGAGGATCACTTGAGGTCAGGAGTTCAAGACCAGCCTGACCAACATGGTGAAACTCCATCTCTACTAAAAATACAAAAATTAGCTGGGCGTGTTGGGTGTGGTGGTGGATGCAGTGGTGGGCGTGGTGGTGGGCGCCTGTAATCTCAGCTGTAGAATTGCTTGAACCTGGGAGGCAGAGGTTGCAGTGAACTGAGATTGTGCCACTGCACTGCAGCCTGGGTGACAAAACTAGACTGGGTCTCAAAAAAAAAAAAAGGAAGTGATAATGCTTTATATCAGTAGAAAGTAGTTTGGCCACATTTTGTACAGTGTGTGTTTCTAAGTTACTTTATTTATTTATTTATTTGAGATGGCGTTTTGCTCTTGTTGCCCAAGCCAGAGTGCAATGGTGCGATCTTGGCTCACTGCAACCTCGGCCTCCTGGGTTCAAGTGATTCTCTGGCCTCCGACTCCCGAGTAGCTGGGATCACAGGCGCGCACCACTGTGCCCGGCTAATTTTTTGCAGAAATGGTGTTTCACCATGTTAGCCAGGCTGCTCTCGAACTCCTGACCTCAGATCATCTGCCCACCTTGGCCTCCCAAAGTGCTGGGATTACAGGTGTGAGCCATCACACCCAGTCTTGTAATTTGTATATTAGATGGTTTATCTTTGTTTTTCATCCTTTGACAATTAAGTCATCTATTCCACTTCAGTTTTATTTCCCTGTTTTCTTAGTCTTGCTATTAAATACAGACCATTTTATAGTAAAGTTTTGGGTTACAAAATGAATGATTACCAACGTTTTGCTCTTCATATGCAGAATTCTTAATATTAGGTTGAACCATATGGAATTGTTAATATTTGATTTTTTGACCTGCCACAAATCCAGCCATTTCATATGACTTAACTGAATAGTGCAAAGTTCAAGGTTTTAAAATATCATTAAAGTTTAGCTTTTGGGATAGCATTCACATTTTCAGATTCAAGTAATTGTTAGCCTGATTATTTAAAAAGCACTCTTAGGAAACTCCTACCATTCTTTTTAAGAAAGAAAGCATGGTAAAAGTATGTGAGGAGGAAAACAACTGTGGCTTCAGATGTTTTCCTTCCCTTTGCCCTTCCCATGCCAGAACTATCCTAAATTTGATATTTAATGTGTGGTATTCCTATGTATTTCTTTATATATTTGTACTATATTTGTTATGTATCTAAATAAGCATGTTTTTAAAACTAATTGGTATCACATTGAAGGTAATCATATGAAATGTGCTTTTTTAGTTAAACATTTTATGAGTTTTGTTGTTGTTATGTATGGCTCTAGTTCATTCATTTTCCACTGCTATTTAGTATTCCACTATATGAATATGTCACAATTTACCCATTCTCTTGTTGGACATTTTGGGTGCTATCTTAAGTGATACTGCTCTTAACATTTCTTTGTGTGTTTTTTGGTAGAGCATTTGTGCATATTGGACTATAAATTTTGTGTAGGTTTCTGTATATCATAGGATGCAGTCACCACTGCTCGGCAGATCCCCATGACATTTTGTTATGAAGCTTATTGGCTCTTTCAAAGGCATTTTTTTTCCTCAAGTCAGACAATACTGGTATGTGGGTAATAAATAAAAATAATACTATAGTCTTGATGTGATTATCATAGTGGAACCCATCTTGTGAAGATACCTGAATGTGCTTATGGTGTCTCAATAAAATATTAATAGAATTTATGCTTAGGTGCCAGTTAATAGTTTTGAGACTTGGACTATTAGTCAGATGGTCATTCTTATGGTGTGAGTGTAAGTTAAAATTTTAATAGTTAATTTGGGGTCTCTCTTTCCCCTTTACAACAAAATAAAAGCCTAGTTATTGAACAGACTATTCAGGGGTTCACTTTAATCAACAGCAGCATCTCAGCGCAGGTCCACAGCCTCATGGATCGCATCGGTACGCACTAAAGATAGAGTAGTTTGGCTATTTCCAAGCAATTAGATGATTATCTTGCATCCAAAATGTATATTTAGTTTTGGTTTTAACCTAGGCAAAATACTTGAATCACATGCAGGTGTTAAAAAGTAGGTTGAAATTAGAGAAGCTGCTGATCAACAAAAGACCTAAATTTTCAGTTTCAGCTCCTGCCGTGTGTTTGCTTTTTTTAAATTGATGATGGAATTGAACACTGTAGTGGGTGGTTTTGAACCAGTAGCCACTTAGAAACCACATGCCCTCAGGTAAATTATATAAAGCCCCAGTTTTCCCTATGTACAAAACTGGGACACAGCCAGTTATAGTATCTACACCAAAAGGTTATTGTTACCATTAAGTGAAATACAATGTGTTTACTATGGAGGACAGCACATAGTAGGCCCTCAGAAATGCTAACCAGCATTATGTTAATATGCTGAAGTAGACTGAATAAGGAAGTGATTAATGTATCAATCACTGAATTTCTAATTACTCTCTTGCGTTGCAGCGAGTTGCTCTTGCTATAAGTACTTCTTAAATTTTGCCAGAGCGTAGAAATTACTCAGTGTGCTTATAAATATTCACACTCCTAGGTTTCTCCCGGATGATTCTGTCAATAAATCTGAAATGGTTTCTGGGAATCTCTTTTTAATAATAACCTCAGGTAACTCTTGTATCCAGCACGTTTAGAAAACTGTATTAATGTATCTGAAAATGGCTTCATTTTTGTTGCTGGTAAGGGCTCACTGCAAATATAAATGTAGCTGGGGCAAAAAGAAGCAGAAGTCTTGGTGAGGAAGGCTTATAAATGTGGTAAACTGAACTTATTTAGAATTTTTTCCCTGGGAAGTTAAAACTTTAAATACCTTATCTTTTCCATCAGCCTTCTTGTCAAGAAGGTAGGCTCTGAGCATTTTCCCCATCTTTACAATAGGGATGGTAATCTTGATTTATCCCTAACATGGTGGCAGTACAGAGAAATGAATCCTGGGTTTCCTGTTCCTAGTGTAG